TAAAATTTCTTGCCGGTTTCTTTTGTGTATAGGACATGGAAATTGTGTAGTACCTTCTTTGCAGAAGAAGAAAACATGTGATCCAATTATAGGTGAGAAGCAAAAATCAACCCAACAACTTGTACCACATCCACTAGCACAACCACCCAGTGCACCACATCAGTCACAACATGACTCTTCTTCACCACCATATCAGTCAAGCACAACAAATAAGTGATCGACTTTATGTTTATATTTATTTATTTAAATGACTAAGTTTTTGTTGGGTTCTTTTGCTTTAGGGCATGAACATTGTGCAGGGCCTTCTTTAAAGAAGAAGAAAACTAGTGATCGAACTATAGGTCAGAAGCAAAAATTAGCTCAACCACCACTTCCACCATCTTCACTAGCACAACCACTATCTAGTGCACCCCATCAATCAGAACCACCAACACGAGTCTTCTTCACGATCACCAGATCAATCGATCATAGCAAGTGAGTGATCGAAATATTTATGTTTATATTTTTTGTTGGTTTCTTTTGCTTATATGGCATGGAGATTGTGCAGGAACTTCTTTGCATAACAAGAAAACTCGTGGTCCAACAAAAGGTGCTGGCACTTACGACGTGGTTAATAAGTCCCAGGGGCAAATTCAGATTCGGTTGGATCCAGAGCAGAAATTAGTGGAGGGTATAAAGACTCACCCATTGTTTGTCAATGAGATTGGAATAATCACTCGTGCGAAAGCTCCACTGAATGTTCTAGGATTGAAGAAAGTTCCTAAAGAGGATAAGCAAGAATGGGCAGAGGCACTGAAGGTGAGTGAGCAATTCAATGCTGTGTAATTATGTTTATAGTCAATTAATATTAAGGTAAATATTTTTATTTTTTATTTTTGTAATTGTGGGTAGTTCAACTTTGATGTTGACCTCATGGATCCGGCTATGTGGAGGTTTATTGATGATCATATGTACTCCACTTATAAAGAGTGGAAATCGAAGCTCCATAAACACTTTAAGAAGTTTTATCCTGACATTGAGCTTGCACGGGCTACACCTCCCCCCAAAGAACTATTTGGTACGACACGAACAATAGAGGAATGGCATTGGCTTATTGATAACTTGTACACAAATGAGCAATACCAGGTACTGTAAACTTTGAATCAATTTGGTTGACTTGAAAATTTCCAATATTTCTCTCTAGTACTGGGAAAGAAGAAAGAAGTTAACTATTTGACCTTTTATAATATTTGATTTATCTATTTTATTATATTGTTGTTTTGTTGATTGACATGAGAAATTACAAGGTCTTATTTGTTACACATGACTAGCTTAGATTGGTTTTTTTTTTTCTTGTCTCAAGCTTAGATTGGCTTGGATTAAATTTCAACCTACATTTGTTTCATCTAATCTATGTCGTCAACCTATATTATAACACGTGTATTCTTACCACGTGATCATACTACCATAGTATTCTATCATTTTTTCTCCTGATGAGATGACAAATAAATTCATGTGAAATGGGAGGATTAGTAATCATATACACACATATACGATTTATATATTACAATATACACATATGTATTAAATATATTATAATGTACATACAGACACTTATATACGCATATATTGTTGTTATAATATATCCATATATATAATTAATATATACCTATAATAGATCCTATTTTTTCTTGGCTATTGGTGTCCTACATAGATCCTAGCATTAATAATTGTACAAGGTTATGAGCTAATTTTCTAGTGTTACAATGACCTAATTGGAGATGACATGACAAATTTTTTTTGTGTCGGAACATGACACACCGTATACTTTGTTCTTTGTTGTAAATTTCAAATCCCAACCTCTATAATTGTTGTCGTCTGTCTTCCATGTTCATATATCGGACCTCAAACAGCATGAAAAATAAATTGACTTGATTTACGAAGTGGCTCCGTTGTTAATTTAATTAAATAGTAATAAGAAAAGAATTATTAATGTGATTGAATATGCAATTTTTATACATGTGCTCTTAATGCAGAGACGGTGCAAAGCCAATGCCAAAAACAGGCAAAATTTAAAATTTAATCATACAGGGGGTTCACGTCCATTCCTGAAACATAAAGAACTTGCTGAAACGGTAAATTTTGTTCTTGGTTTAATGTTTTTCAGATATGTGGAAATACTAATTTTCTTTTTTATTGTTGAGAAAATGTAGAAAGGAGAACACCCTACTTATATCAGCAACTGGCAAGCCATGCATCAGTACAGAAAGAAGGG